TTCTGGCCATGAGCACGGGGTCCTGTACTTCAGTATGTCGAGGTGCTCTATACACAGGACTACGCAAGAGTCCCCCCACATATAACACCTGAACTCAGGCGTGTGCGCACACGATTTATTGTGCGATGGCTTCTCCCCATCTCCTCTGGATCACAGCTGCACCTAAGTCTAGTCCCGGTGGGGACAGCACCAGAGCCTGGGTTGGATTTTGAACTTTTTTTTTTGTTGTACCAGGGATCGAACTTGCGTCCTCACACTTGCGAGGCAGGCGGTGGAACCACTGAGCTAAATCCCTGGCCCCTTGGATTTTGTTAAACAGAAGTGTTTTGGCTCTTTGCTAATCTGCAGCGCAGATATTCAGGATACTTCACAGGAAACCATGAGGGTATGGTGAGAGGGAGCAGAGACGGGAAAGAAACTGGCATTTTAACTTAGCCTGAGTGCTAAAGGCCGGAGAGGAGAGGAGGTGGTGAGTGTTGCTGCCACCTCAAAGGCTCCTAGTCAACTGAGTACAAAGAAGAGTTCAAAGGCAAGGCGGGCTCCTGACTTCCACCTCCTAGCGGGGCTGAGGTCAGAGGTCGCTGCTGGTGGAGCCACTGGCCAATAAAAGAATGTTTGGAGACTCTGCTCAACAGATAAACTGGGGATCCACTTACAACCCTCCTCCCTAACCACACGAACATTTCCAACTGTACAGGGTACAGTCTATGCCCAGGCAGCCTCCCAAGGCCTGAGCCTGAGTACTTGTGCTGCTGCTTCAAGGGAGACTGGGGATGTGCACGAGCTCTCTGACTACAGAAATGTGTCTGGCTTCTTCCTGCCTTCCAAAGCAGGAAAATGCCCCTCCTTGAGCTCACCCCAGTGCTACCTCCCCATCGGTGTCTTCCCACCACCCAGGCCAGCCCACTCTCGCCTTCCATCTCAGCCCTAACAGGCCCTGGAAAGCGGTCGCACTGAGCCCCAACCACACACCCGAAGATGAAGATGACCATCATCCTTGGCGGGTGGGGCCACAGATGCCTTATCATCACCCAAATGCCCCCTGGAAAAAAAACAATTAGGGCTTCAATAAATCAAACTGACCAGTTAATTAGCTCACGGGACAATGAAAGGCCAACTGATAAATCAGCCTTACCCTTTTAGGAGGAATATCCTCTGCTAGTTTGGGGAGTTCTGTGACTTACCCAGAAGCCTCTTCAGGGCCCCCTGGATCGTCCATGTCCAGTGCTCTAGGTGCCAGCACCGCTCATGGGTGACCCAGAGGCCACTGTCTCTATGCCAGACACGTAAGGGAGCTCTAGTTAGACCTCTCGCTTCCTTTAGGCTCCAGCTTGCCCTGAACTTTACCGCTGGTTCCAGGCAGCAGGTCAGGCAGGTCTTTCTCCCTTGGCACCACTGCAATCCCAAGTTAGAGCGGTGGCTCTCACTGGTGCCTTTCCTGCCTCACTCTCACCTGCGACATGTTGCCACCTCACCTGCTCACCAAGACCCCACCCCTGTGCTTCCGGAGTCAGTTCAGAGACGCTGGTTCTGGCTGGCAGGGTGAGCCGACCCCTGTGCCAAGCCCTGCTCCTTCTGTACCCCAGTGCCATTCCCCACAGAGCAGCCGTGAGGATGACAGGTACCCAAATAAGTGGCTCATAGCAAGCAGGATTTCTTGGAAAGATTCAAACATGAAGAATGAAAAGGAGTCACTTACGAGTCAATAGCGACCTCTGCTGGCTACAGTTGTCGCTGCAGCTAAGAAAACCGGGTCTTGGGTCTTGAGCCTTGGTTCCTTCAGACGTTTCACCTATGTGCCCATGCAACTGGTTTTCCCCTAAAGAGTTCCACCTGTCTTACGAAAACACCTGAATCTTATGTCCCTAAACTGGAGAATTCAGTAAAGCACAATAACTTTTCAGACGCAGGTGTATGCTTTTTTTTTTTAGTTACTCCTGCCAAAGTCAAGTTAAATCAATGGAAGGCAAGCAGAAGGCAAATGACGAGGATATTTTGGGAAGAGCATATTTTGTTATAGAACAAAAGAAGCTTCCTTCAGCTGTAGTTTGGATAGGTGTCTGCCAAAGGTTCCTATGGAAAGCCTGTCCCCAGTAGGCACATTGAGAGGCACCTGTACCTTTAAGAGGAGGGGCTCCAGTGAGTGAGAGTCATGTGACCACGTATTCCCACCAACCAATGGGCTCCCAGCCTCCAAACTGAACAAACTAAGTCTTTCTCTTTAGGGCCTCAGGTATTCATTCCTTGCAGTAACAGAAAGCTGGCGATATACTCTCTGATCTTACAGATGATCCAGGATCAATAGAACACTGGTTCTCAAAGCGGTTTTGACCCCACCCCAAGGTGGACATCTGGCAATATCTAGAGACATTTTAGGTTGTTTCAGCTTGGGAGAGGGGATCGTGCTACAAGCATCAAGAGGGCATTGAACCTGGTCATGCTTTATACCTAGCAGGGAGCTCCCTCGACCAGGTCATCTCCATCCGGTTGCCATCAGCCTGGTCTAGCAAGTGGGGCTGGGACCACGAAATACTCGGGAAAAGGGAAGCAGACCGGTGGGCACTGCAGTGGGGCCCATGGGACAGTTGGAGAGCAGCACCGGCAAAGAGGGCGAGGGGACGCAGGGGACAGCAGGGCTGTCAGTGGTCAGGTGGCACCGTGGAGGGTGGCCGCCAGCACAGGGTACTGACCAGAGGTGCAGGGGAGGGGAGATGAGCAGCGAGTACTGGCGTCGTCAGGGAGGCCGGTCATTGTGCTAGGGACAAGAATGTACTGTTTTTAAGCAGCTGCATAGAGCACGAGAGGGGATGTCGCCAATCCCATCATTTCATAAAGAAGGAAATGGAAGTGTAGGCAGCACTGGTGATGTGTCACAGACATTCCGTCAACAGGGACAGAGCCAGGGCTTGAACCCAAGTCTTCTGACTCTAACTGAGTCTCTCCGAGACCAAAAAACCGCACGCACCCTGTTTCGAATGACTTGCTCTCATTCCCTCTCAACTATACCTTGATTATGACCTCTGGGTGCCCGCCTTGCACCTGCGCATCGCTGGGAACCGGCAGGGGCTGCTGCTCCAAGAGCCGAACAGTTCTCTTTCTCAAAGTGAAAGTGGTGTGGGGGAAGAGGACAGGATCTGCTCTGTGGCACCTCCCAGGTCGCATGTGAATCTGCCTGGCCTAGAATCCAGCACAAGATGGAATGTGCTTTGGCATGTGACTCTGTGATCAGTTTATTAATAAATAAAGATGCCACAAAGAGTGACAATCAAAAAAAAGCGGTGCTCTTTAGCACAAACGCCGACTCTTCAAAGAGCATTTTCTTCTCCCCAGGTTTTAAGAGCCCCAGGTTTAGAGTGAAAATCTAGAAGTCTCTAGTCTGATGTTCTCACTAAAATTCAAATGAGGTCAAGCAGTTAAGTAACAAAGGCAGCGGGGCCCAAGAAAGACAGGAAGCCAGCAAGAGGCTAAAATCGACCTGAGCCTTATGGCCGGTGAGGATGCTGTGAGGTTTGGAGCCGAGGGTCTGCGGCCCAGAGGAGGGAGATTCCTGCCCATGGCACAGAGCTGGTCCCCAGAGCTGGCATCCAACCAGGCAACCTAAGAAACTTATCACCGCCACGTCGGAAGCTTGTGTTGCTACAGTTTGGATCCCGGTGTCCCCCAGTCTCCTGTGCTAAAGGCTTGGTCCCCAGAGTAGGGTCCTGGGAGAGCGGGAACCCAGGAGAGGTCTCTGGCACTGAGGTGGACTTGCAGGGGACCCTGGCCTCTTTCGCTTTCTGCCACTTCCCCTCCAGGATGCATCACCAGCCGCCAGGGCCTGAGGGCAATGCGTTCACCACACAAGGGCTGGAACCTCCAAGGCGGTGTGGCAAGAGCAGCCTTCTGTTTTAGTAAGCTGATCATCGCAGGGTGGAGGGACAGGGAGCTGACGGGCACAAGCAGCACAGCACAGAGGGTGGGCTGAACAGGGCACCTGCACTCTGTCCCAAACCCTACGATGACGATTAAAGGGAACTCTCACAAAGTGAGCCTCTAGAGCCCGTGACAGAGAAGGGGAGACGGCATGGAAACAAAGCATGGACCCTGGAAAGGAGCGGAAGTGGTACCGGAAGCCAGGGCTCAGGACGGTTCTACTGTGACTCCGTGAGAAAACCCACCCTGGGGCCCAGGCGGGCACAGAGCAGCAGAAAAAGACGACTGAAGTGCTTAAGATACAGCAGGAACAGTGCTTCTCTCCTCACCCCAGAGCCTGGGCACCATCAGCCCTTGTCCAGAGCCTGCAGCCTACTCGGGTCCAGGTCAAATCGGGCCCCCTCATGGGGTGCAGAGCCAAGCTGACAACAAGGTGCATCTGTAAGACCCTCCCAGCCTCTTCCCCCTCATAACCCAGGAGGCAGTTCTGATAAAGATTAAAATGGAAAAAACACACATTTTTGTTTGTTTTTTGGTACCGGGGATTGAACTCGGGTCCTTGCACTCGCAAGGCAGGCCACCGAGCCGCTGAGCTAAATCCCCGGCCCCGAAACACACATTTTTCAAAGAGCACAGAATAAATACTTCCTGCCAAGTTAGACACAGCCTTTTCAATTTCAACTCGCTGGAGGGTGAGGTCGATGCCCAGTGGGTCCTTCAGGCAGGCAGAGCCGTAGGAGGGGCATCAGAGGGCGGGCAGGACAATGGCTCTGTGGGGACAGCTGAGACCCCTCGCGTCCCTGCATACACAACGCTGGGCTCCGTCTCGGCACCGGAACCGTCACCGCGGTGCCTGTGGCCCTCTGAAAGGCTTCAGCTTTGCATCCTGAAGACCCTGCTCCCGAGCACCAGGAAATCACAGCAGCCTCCTCCGCGGGGCCCGAGGACCTCGGGCTTGCTGGGTGCACCTGCGGCCTGAGCCCCGCCCCGTGCTAAGTGTGGGGTGGACACGACGAGGAGACGCAGCCCCTCGTGCCCTCGGCACTGCGGACCCCGCTTCCGCTCCCTGCTTGGGCCGGGCCTCTCACCTGTCTCTGCATCTCTTCCACCTGTCTGCTCGGGATGCTCTGCAGGATACCGTGCACATCGGCTATCTTCTCTTCCGGTACCACCACGGACGCCCTGGAGACGACAGCGGACAAGCAGCATGCATCCAGTCCTCGGCAGCACCTCCCTGCCCTCTCCTGTTTCCTTTTCACCAGCAGAAACGACACCCAGAGCTGCTTCAGCCTCACATGTCTCCTGGGACATGTTCTGACACTGACCTCTTCCCACATCACCTCAGCAGCCGATTCCTCACCTCCCACTCATCCTATTTACCTTTCACTGGCCTCCATGTCTGAGCCTCTTGGTCACACAACATACCACACTGCCCTGCCACAGGGCCTTTGCATGTGAAATGCCACCTTCTTACGTACTCTTCTTCCCATTTCTCTGAACTGGCTGGGCAGGCTGGGCTCATTGCAGAGAATAGCAGGAGCCCAGCAGAGAGTGGGGAGCCTGAGTCACCTCGGAGTACATGTGGCTTCAGGGTGAGCATGGGAAAGCGAGCCCAGGAGCAGGGCACCTGGCTGGGATGCCTGGCAGAGGTAGGTGAGCTGTGACAAGGGCGGGGGAGAAGGGAGGATCCTTCTCGCAGGGCCTCCAGAAGTCTGGGATGATCCTTGGATAGAGGAACTGACTAAAGTCGAAGCCTGCTCCCCCCGCAACTCCTGTGAGGTCCCAGCACACTGTGGCCCTTGGCAAACTCTGGTGAACTAAGTCAATGATTTCTACTATTCGGACGGGAAAACTGAGGCTCAAAAAGGATCAATCGGCCACAATCACAAATCCAGCCAGCACAGAGCTGGTTCCTACACCGAGGCCGCTGACTTCAAAGCCAGAGGCCTCCCGCTACTCACCCGTGATCTTGGCTACCCAAGCAGGTCTCCATTGTCACAGCGACACCCTTTTACTCCAGCTCACGGTCAGCAGCCCCGTGAGGCCCTCGCCGAGCCCTCTCTCTCCTCCTGGCATCCTGAACAGCAGGGCAGTCTCCTCACTGCATCTGTCTATTTCCCACCACTAAGCTCTGCGCGCCTGGAGGAAGGGCTGAGCCTCGCTGTCTTGCTACATCTCCATAACTGGGGGCGCCTGGCAAATAAAAGGTGAGCAAGGACATTTTCCTAGGTGGATGTGAGCTGGCCGTGGCTCTTCACTTCTCTGAGATGTAAGGGCCGACTTTACACTCTCCTCCTCCGAGCACGCTCAGGCCCCTCCTCTTTCCTGGCTTCTACAGCCTTTGTGCTAATATCTGCTGCCGTGGCATTCCCACAGGCTGTGGTCCAAGTTGAGCGCCCCAATCCAAAGCTCCGAATCTGAAATGTTTTTAGTGCCAATACAATACCACAAGTACAAAATCCCACACGGTGAAATTCTGCTTCTTACACAAAATTAAAAACATGTCTGAGCACTGAGCTATGTGTACCTGGTGCTCACGTGACACAGATGAAGTTTGTGTTTACACTTGAGTCTCTTCCCCGCCATCTCATGATGTGATGCAGATATTCCAAAATCAGGAAAACAAAACAAAACAAAAACCTGAAACCTAAAACCCTTCTGGTTCCCAGCATTTCAGATAAGGCAGACTCCCCTTAACCTCAGGTTTGTTCCCCCTCACACCATCCTAGCCTCCTCAGAAACGAAACTCAGTGTTGTTCTTCCAATAAGTATGAGATGAAGGAAAAAAATGAATGAATTAGTCTCATTTAAATTGTTCAAATAACTGTGGCAATCAGACCTGAATAAAATAGCAGAAGGAGAGAAGAAAGCCATTAAAGTTCTGAGGCAAAGAGCAAAGCCTGAGGCAAAGCTTGAGAGGTGAACAGCGAAGGAACCAATTTTCAACAACCTTCCACCTCCAAAGTGTTGTGGACAGTGAAATGCAGGACTATTCTGTGAACATAACCAGGCAGAGGCACTTCTGTCCAGCTGTCCCTGGATGTCCCCAAGCTTTTACCAGCTACGCACTGTGCACCTTCAACAGACCGCAGCAGCGGTAAACCATCGCTGCAAGTCAGACAACCTGGAGGCTTCAAAACGCAGACTCCTGGATAAGGCCAGGGCTTTCTAAAAAAGCTGTCCAGGAGAGTCTACTCTGCAGTCAAAGTTGAAAATCACTCCGAGAGGCTAGAGGGTGGGAGAGGGTTTTGTGGAAAGAGCCAGACAGTAAATGTTTCAAGCCTTAGAAGCTATACAGTCTTGGTGCAATCACTCTAGCATAAGAATAGCCACGCGATACGTAAATGAAGGAGGGTGGCTGTGTTCCAATAAAGCTTTATTTACAAAAGCAGCCAGTTTGAAGGCTTGGCCCAGTTTGCTCTAAGCCAATGGACTAAGTTTCCTGATGGGAACACAGCAAAGCAGTCTTAATAGTACAGACTGGGAGGCCGGGGATTTAGCCCAGTGTTTCCACCACCTGCCTCGCAAGCACAAGGTCCTGCGTTCAATCTCCAGTACCAAACAAACAAAAAACAAAAGTAGTACAGGTTTGGTATCCTTTATTTGAAATGCTAGCCTCAAAGTGTTTCGGGTTTTTGCAGACTGTGGAATTATTTGCACGTATGATGAGATATCTTAGGGATAGGGGCCAAATCCAAGCACAAAACTCACTTCTGCTTCATATACACCTTAGGGTTATCGCCAGAAGGTAACGGCAGCACTTTGACAGTGACCTATCACCTAAGGTCAGGTGCAGAATTTTCCACTTGTGGCATCATGAAAGCTCTCAGAAAGTTTCTGATTTTGCAGCACTTCTGATTTTGGATTTTCAGATTTGGGCTGCTCACCCCACAGTTCTAATCGAGGTATACCTTCCAGTCCCTGAGGGGCGTTTTACTTCCACTGCTGGCAGAGCCACAGTACTGGCTAAAGTTCACTGGGCAGTTCTACTCACCTCTTCCAGTCAAGGACTTCAGAGAAAGGCAGGATGTAGGAGTCTGCGATGACAACAGGGACACAGCCAGCCTGCAACACGTCACTCAGTACAGCCTGGCCCAGCCGAGCTCCTCGCAGGACCACGCAGAAAGTCGCCTCCTGCGGGAACACAAGCAGAGGTTGAGGATTACAACCCAGCATGGCCGATCCACTCACGGGCATCCCTTCAGGCCATGAAGCTCCCAGAGATTTCAAGCCACTCAACGCTGAGGCACCTTGATCCAAAAACGCCAAAAGGCAACAGCTCCTGCCTATAAGCCATGAAGAACGTGGCTGGGTGCAATGCTGTGCATCTCCAAGCCCCAGGGTAACTTTAGGGCCACAGGGCTGGTGCTCTGTGCACGCTCACAGGGTGGGCTTTCACTGGCCAGTGGGCCAGGCAAACTCACCAGCGGGCGCAGCCTTACCTCAGCCCCTCAGGGGATCGCTGTGGGAATGTTGGGCTCTCCACGGGACCCACTAAAGGAGGCCCCAGGCCTCTGGTCACCCTGCTGCCCCCACGGCGTGTCTACCGCATGTGCCCATAGAACATGCCCACTGAAGGAATGCGGCGCCCTCGAAAAGACATTCATGCAGACGCAGTCTCTCCAGAACAGTGAATCTAACGAAAGCAAAATGTCAAAAGCTCTTCCCTACTCGCTCCCTGAACACTGTCAGTGGGGACGCGTGGGGAAGTAAGAGCTGTGTGGAGAAAACAGTGAGGGAAGACTCTGATTCTCCAATGCTCAGTTTCTCCTAGTTTCTCCCTTTTCGGGGGTGGAGGGGGGTAAAAAAGTTAGAGAAATAGAAAGTTCAGAAAAACTATAACGAAAATTAATATCACACCGCCCTCCAGGGACACAGGGAAGAAGCAGCCACTAGGGTGCCCGGGGCACAGGGGGCAACACGGCCTGACCTGCAGGGTTGGTGGCCAGATGTGGACACACGTGGTGATAACCACTCTTCCTGTCTAGACAAAGGTTACTATAAATACTCCTGCTCACACCGGCACTGTTATCGGCCAGACATTCCGCAGGGAGAAGCAGCACTTCTTGAGAGAAGGTATTTTAATAATCTCAGTATGGGCCAGGTCCTTGATATTTCTCCTTACTAACCTGGTCTTCATTTGAAAGATTTCAGGAAACGGAGCTCACATTCTCCTTGCCTAGCCCTGCACCCTTGGACTGTTCAACAGCTGCCTGCAGAACATCCCCAAGGCAACCGCTCTGCCTCTGGTTATGGAGGCACTGCTAAGCCGGCGGTTTAAGTAAAGGACATCTGTGCTATACAGACGCCGTGGACAGCAAACCACCAAAAGCCAACAGAAGAAAACCAATGCCAAATACCACCCACTCCCGAGGAAAGCTGGCGAAGCATGGTCCAGTGATGCAATTGCCACCTTGAAGAAAGACATTTTCCCGGACTGGCCCACGGGCACAGGACTCACAGCAAAACACAACTGCACGCTCTGCCTCCTGGCTTGCTGTAAACCTACGCGATTGGCGTTTCTGCCACAGAACAAGTATGTGAAGAGAAGAACTGCTGGAATAGACCAAGCCTCTTCCCACGAACACCATATACCAGGCATCCAAGCCTGGAGGGGACGTGGCCAGCGCGGGGCACCACTGCATTTCCTTCTGTCCTGTGTGACGCTGCAGAATGTGACTCCTAGCATTAGGGTCAATGGCAGCGACCCCTGCGCAGCCCGAGTCCGGTTGTGCAGCACACTCACCTGCAGCACCTGGGGGTAATCGAAGACCTGGTGCTTGTGGCAGCGCTTGCGGACGGAAGGGACGCCCTCGGAGAGGTTGGTGCACTTATCCAGGACCAGCACGGCCTCTCCGTGTTTGGCCTGCAGGGCTTCGAGCTCCTCTCTGTACTCGGGATGGATGGCCATCTGCGAGGACAGCAGGAGGTATCGCCGTGGACTACAGAGGAGGAGAAAGGTCACTGGCAGTCACAGCCCCATGGGCCACCAAGGTTAGACAGACGCGGAAACTGAGCTCCTGGCCACAAGTGTTTCCTCACCGTACTGACGTCACCTATTTTTTTTTTAATTACACACTGGAGACTTGTTAAATACTTAAAAGTGTTAGGTACTTAAGAAAATAAGATTTGATTCAATTATACTCCGAAATGTAATCATAAAAAGTTTTACTTGGGAAAAATCTTTAAGGCTGTGAAGAAATGCTTAGAATATACCAAGTCTAGAAAGTGTCCTGTGTGTGTTCAGAGAGAAAATGGACAGTCGACGGATTGTTGCACAAGACATCAGAATGTTGTCTTTACTTCAGTCTGAGACTCGGATATAAATAGAAAGTGAAAGCCAGCTGCATTTCTCCAACAAGGACACAAGGAGTTCCAGCAGGTGCAGCACTGCCAAATGGGGCAGAGCCCCGTGGTCAAGGCCACACAGATAGCAGAGAAGCTAAAAATCAAAAGTCTTCACCAAAGCGTGGGACCAGTCTCAATGGCAAGGATGCATAAGAGAAGATGGGGAGAAGGAAGATTTCCAAGGGTCGGTGCCGTGCACATGAGACGAACATGTGAACACAAAAGTCAGATGTGTCTGGTGGTGGTGCCGGGAGCCAGTCTACATAATTTTGGGGGAAAAAAACATTTCACAATTAAATTATGATTAGGGCTGTCTTAGGCCTCAGTGGGCCCATGATTCTGTGATGCTCAAGGGCAAGATGACATCAGCTAAAGACATCCTAGCTCTTTCAGAACCCAGTAGCAAAACAAAAAGAGAAAGGTCTCATCTGGGGAGAGACTAATTCCTTATCCCACCTACTGTTGTAGAACGGTTTTTGCTCATCTCACCATCCTGATCAATGGAAGCTCCGCCTCGACCTAAGAGCCTCATCAGCATAATCACCTGATACTTCCTCTGATTATAAGATTCTCGTCAATTTAGGATTATTGACGCTCTCTGAGTCACTTGAATGAACCCAATAAATAATGGTAAGCTTGGAGTGCCTTTGTCTTTGCTGTCAAGAGCAGCACTGACCAGACTTAAGACCCAGCCTTTTCTCTAAGTCTTCTTTCCTGTCTTTATTCTCTAAATAGCCTTGTGCTGTAGTGGCTCACAGAAGACCAGGACCCACTGCAGGGGTTCTGGTAACATCCCCTTTCCCGTTCCCTATTTGGTGGGATTGCTCAAGCCCAGGAGTTTGAGGCCAGCTTGGGAAACATAACGAGACCACCCCCCTTGAAAAAGAAAGTCAACGCCAAGTTAGAAAGGCTGAAACCAAGAGAATAATTTTGGAGAGGCAAGATGGTAAGTAGTTACCTCCTGGAAGGCCAGACTTCCACAAGACAGAGAAAGAGGCCACAAAGGGGCATAGGCTGAGGGACCATTAAGGGGTCACCACTCATATATATGACACAACTCATATAAAGCACACCCCAGGAAGAAAGGAGACACCTATAGGGTGTAGAAACAGCATTTGCTTAAATCCAGCTCAAACTGGTGCTGGCCAGGGAAATACTAGGGCTAACAGGAGACTATAAAACAGGACTAAGACCTCTAGCTTTGGGGGAACCCCTCTCTTTCTGTTCTGTTTTTGTTGTGTTTCAGCTCTGAGAAGTAAGGCCAACTGCTATTTTTCCTTAGATCCTCATTCTTATTTGGATGGTCTAGCTGGAAGAACCATACTCACACACCCATGGCCAAAGGACAGCTGCTCTCTAACTGAGCAAGTCATCTTCTCTCCCAAAGCAAGAAGCTTCAGGGCGAAGGCACACCAGCCACAGTGCAGTGCTCAGTGGCCACATGTGGCCAATGGCTGCCGGGCAGCACAAACCCAGGTGCCTTTCCCATCTCACAGAAGTCCTATTCGAAAGTGCTGCCTGCAGTGAGGTGAGGTAGAGGAGACAAGGAGGCTACAGAACAGGAGCCCACCAAGGAGACAGTGTGGTCAGCTGGCTGAGTCCCTCCTAAGTTACCATTCACTGAAAGCTACATGGAACACTTATGGCCACAAGTCTTCCTTCTGGGCGCTGACACAGATTCGTGGCTTCCTCTCCCAGCCCTGAGCCTCTGGAATCACTTTCTGTAAAGGGAGGCGTGACAACGGCAAGGTTATGCACTAGGCACTCCCAGCTGGTCCCACGGTGGGCACCATTTCCTCCCCAGTACGTGTCCATTTTTACTTATATTGAAAGATTCGTCAAACCCACAGCCGAGCAGGAAAACCACCTTACCAATGAAGGTCACTGCAGAATGAAATGGCCTGCTGTGTGGTGGGGTTTTCAATGCCCAGCCAGAAACTTTTCCAGAAGCCACAGCAAGAAGCTCTGGGACAGGGTGTGACTCAGAAGACCAGGTAAGGTTAGAGGGGGCGGGAGGTCAAGGTGATAGTCCCATCTCTCCAGGCCTGGAACCCAGAAGGGTGAAGAGGGAAGCACAGTGTGGGGCCGCCAGGGATGATGGGAGCCGAAAGAAGCTCCCAGCATGCAAAGGGGGAAAAGCAGGGTGCCCTTTGGTGTTGGCCAGAACTGGAGATACTAAGAAGGCGTGGTTTTCAATATGCACACACACAAACAGGAAGTTCTATCTACACAGGCTGAGAAATCAACGGAAACTCAGCAAAGAAAGACTCCAGGTTCAGTGTCATGGAGAAGACATAACATTCTACTTCAGACTCTCAGGGACAAGGCTTACAGGATCCCTGCTCTGCCAGGGCTACAGGTCAGCAGAAATAGGAGCCTGGAGCAGGAATCCAATTGCGGTCCCCAGCCCGTGTGCTGGCCTTCCCTGCCCTGACCCATGGCTGGCAGACTATACTTGTTTTAGCTTTAAGCAAACATAGCTTTAAGGTAGATTTGTTTTTCTTCTGAAGACTAAAATTACTAGCTGTAACTTTCATGTTTCCTCCCAGGAGCCTGGTATCCGAAAGTAAAATCACGCTGAGAACTGAAGAGGCTCCCTCAATAGTTACGGCTGTAAACTCCCAATTTAGTTCCTTTTAGAAGGAAAATGACAAGAATTCCAGCTTGGGCCAACACAGCTGTGAGAAACAGCTATCAATAGTAACAATCCTCAGCTTCCCGTTGAAAAACTACTGATTTAAAATAAAAATAAAAAACAGCTCTCACTACTCAGGGCGGCCCTCAGGAGATGTGGGAATTCCCTTAAAGAGCGACTCTCACAAAGAGTAAGCAACCAACGTGAACTCAGGAGGTTTCCCCCTCTACCGTCTCCAGAGTCCCAGAGGGAGCCACCTCTGCCTTCGTGGGCTTGGTGGAGTGGCTGTCTGGGGATGCAGGGGAAGAATGTTCTTGATGAAAGTAGCGGTGCCAGTGCAGAGATGTGGGACACGGTGGTTGTGGCCACCCCAGGGAGGGTCCTGCTCGATGGTCCTCACCTTTCCCACACTACTCTTGAAGATTCGCCAGTTTTTTACCGGAACTTTTAAAAACTAACTGAAACCTTGAGCGACCTGAATGAAGACCTCTTAGTCAGTAGAGTTACACATAAATTAGACTGATCCAATTCCTACAGACCAACAGCCCATGTAGTCATTTAAATCTCCCAAACTGATTATTTGAAGGTGATCTTTAATTGTTGGGAGTGGTTTGTTCTTCTGAACTGAAACAACTTAACTTCCAGAACAACTTCAAAGGGGGAAAAAGGGGTAAAACAGCGTTTATTTTATCATACAACTGATTTAAGTGAATGCTCACAGAGGTGTCCTCACACTCAGGCTGCACAGTATGCCCAGTTAAGATTCCCGGCACATGACAGAGGTCTATAGTGCCCACGGGGTACGAGCTGGCTCACACAGACCATCTTGTCTCAATTCATGGGAATCTAGCCTCAGAACAAGGCACTGAACTATATCCATCCATGTGTGGATTTGCTAAAACAGTTATTTTTGAACAAAAAAATTTTAATTGTTTTGATGATAATAATTTATGCATAGTTTTTCTCATATTGAATGACGAATACTAGTTTTTGGAAAAAATGCATGTGTCTGTCATGGTTTCAATGTGTCCACCAAAACTCATGGTGAAATTTAATCTTCATTGCGAGACGTTAAGGGGTGGATACTTAATTCCACTATGGTATTTAGAGATGGGAATCTGGAAGGTTAATTTCAGTGAAATGCAGCCTAAGGGAGGGGTCCTAATCGGGTAGGGCTGTGGCTTTAGAATAAGCAGAGGGAGCTGAGCTGGGCCGTTCATTCTCTCTGGCCGAGTGATACCCTCAGCACCCAAGGCTCTGCAGACTCCCAGCCAGGGAGCAGGGCCCGTCCTCATGTGGCCACCCCATCTCCGGCTTCCCAGCCCAATAAATGCTTACTCTCTACGGTGAATCCCAGAAAGTGAGTACAGCCAAAGACAAACAGCAGACTAGCTGATGCGTAGACTGTGTGTTCACTGTAAAAATTCTTTAAGCTTTGCTGTCTGCTTGGACATTTTCATCATAAAAGTCAGGGAGAAAGTGAATTGTGCATCTGCATCGGATGAAGACAAATGACATCACAGTAGGCTACCTAAAGGGAGGCTTCCCAGGGGTTCAAAGAGAACACACGGTACAGAAGGGTATGTGGTCACTCGGCATGCAATCACACAGGCCTGCCAAACCCAGTGGACCCAAATATTTGTTCGACATTCACCTCACCAGATGTGATTCCATTTCAAAGAAACACCTTCACCCATCTCCTTAAACTACATCAATCTCAATGTTGTTAGTTTTGTAGATGTGCCAGTATTTACTCTGTCAGTCTCTTCGTTTGTAGTTGTATAAACACAAGGAGTTTAGACTTGTTTTTATTTATTCAAATTACAGTATTGTGAAAATAATCAAAATGCAAGGGACCTTGAGCAGCCTATAAAACCTTGCAGAAGTCACAACGCTGGAGGGCTCACATTTACCTATTTCAAAATTTACTACAAAGCTACAGTAATCAAGCCAGTGTGGGTACCAGCATAAAGGACAGACAGAGATTAGGACTGAGAATTAGAAATAAATCCATATATCTGTGCCCAGTTGAGCTTCGACAAGTGTACCAAGACTACAGATACTCCTTTCAACAAGTTGGCTGAGGAACTGGATATTTACAAACAGAAGAATGAAGCTGGACCTCATACTGCATAGAAAAAATTAACAAAGGGCTAGGGACGTACCTCAGTGGTACAGAACTTGCCTACCACAGACAAGATTCTAGGTGCTACACCTAGCACCAAAAGAAAAAAACAAAATCTAAAAAACCCTCAAAATGAATGACTCATAAACCTAAGCCCAAGAGCTAAAAACTATAAAATTCTTAGAAGAAAATGTAAGTGTAGCTCTTCGTAACTCTGGCTTAGGAGTAGTTTCCTGAATATTAATATTACATCAAAAATATAAATAATCAGAGGAAAAGTAGATAAGTCAGATTTCTTCAAGAGTAGGAAATTTTCTGTCTCAAAGGACACTCATGAGAAAGTGAGAACCCACAGAGCGGGAGAAAATATGGGTAAATCCAATACAGTGTAGTATCTGGAATACATAAGATCCTACAGTTCTACAATAAGCAAATTTGAAACTAGGTGGGCAAATGATCTAAACAGACATTTCTCCAAGGCAGGTGTATAAATGGCTGACAAGCACAGGAAAAGATACTCAATGTCACTAGTTATGAGGGAGATGCAAACTGAAGCCACAGTGAGATTCTCCTTCCCATCCAGGAGGGTGGTAAGGCTCAGAAGCCCAGGCAATGACCAGCACTGGCAGACGTGTGGAGAAACTGAAACCTTATACACATTGCTGGTGGGAAGGCACAATGACGCAGCCACGCTGGAAAATGGTCTGGCATCTCCTCAGAAAGCAAAACACAGAGCCAGCACATGGGCCAGCGATTCCATTCCTAGGGAAAGACCCAAGAAAACTGAAAACCAGATTTACCCGAAAACTTGTACACAAATGTTCATAGAGGCGTTATTCACAATAGCTACATTATTCACAATAGCTAACACTCGGAAATAACCCCAGTCCCAGTCAACTGATGAGTGGACGAACAAAATGGAAATGCTGGTCCTATACTACAGCATGATAAGCCTTGAAAACATTATGCTAAGTGAAACCAGACAGAGAGGCATTGCATGATTGCATTGATACGAAATGTCCAGAACAGGCAGAAAAGAGATTGATGCCTGTTGCTGGGGGCAGAGATAAGAAGTAACTGCTAGAAAATATTGACTTTATTTTGTAGAGAGAAGGCAGGGCTCCAGAATCAGTAGTGTTGACAAAAGTTACACAACTTTGTGAGTGTACAAAAGCTGTGAGCTGTGCACTTTAAAAGAGTGGATTTATGATATTTGAATTAATCTCAATTTTAAGATAATAAATTAAGCCCATTCTGGGAGTTTCTTAAGGGAACAGAATCCAGGAAGATGACCTAAGCCACAAGTTCATGAACTCTTCGGGCTTCCTTTGTACTTGCCGAGGGTGGAGGGAAAAATGTCTCTCGCTGACCTGGACTTTGCACATTGTCTAAAACAACTAATGGCTGCTGGGAGCTTCCGATTTTGGGAGTCCAGGCCACTTGGTGGAAAACACATGTCAGAGGGACATCTTCTTCCAGAAGGGTTCTCTTACATCTCAGCGTTCACGAAAGTTTCTGAGGGCAAGTCTGGGATGTTCAGAGAAAGGTTCTGATGGCTTCTCTCTCCCAATTCTACCACCAAAAAGTGTGACTGGCTTTCAGTCTCACCTGCTGTGGCATTTTCAGTGTTGCCATTTCAGTCCCCTCCTATCACAGAGCTTATCTTCTAAGAAAAGGATGCTTTATGACCACTAGGCTTGTTTAAAGCTCACTGAGTTGTCACCATAAAGTAGCACAATTTTAAACAGGTTACAGCAAAAAAGCTAGACAAAGGGCCCAACATATCCAGGCTCTCGGCTCTTTTCACTTATTCCACATTTTAAAGTATGAGCCAAGTATGTGCCAGACACAATACAGCAGTTAAAAAGCAGACCTGAAAAGTAAAACAAAACAAAACAAAACACAGAGCTGACTTCTGCTTCACTGTATGGACAAAAGCCAAAGTCCAAAGACGTCAGGCCAGGGCAGAACGAGTGTCACCCGAGAGAAAGGCAGGCCCTGTGGGACAGACCGGTCCAGGACAAACACAGTGACTCCAACCTGCCCAAGTCCACGGGTCAGGCTGGAACCTAAAGTAAAAGCAGGACATAAGACTGACGAGGAGGAGGAGGAAAAGGATTTCCACTCAAGAGGGAAAGTCGGGCTAGAAAATCAGAGAGAGCGAAGCCTCTTCTATGAGCAGAAAGGAAAAGTTCTGATGAAAGACCGGACCTGGAGACAGAGCCGGGCTGCCACGTCAGGGAGGCGGGAGGCCTCCATCGGGCAGTGTGAGGCCAGGCCTGCCGGGGTGAGGCGGCAGACCAGAGGCAGCGACACCAAACAGGACACAGGTCAGGAGTCCAAAAGGAGGTGACAGAGGCCTGACATAAGGCAGAGGCTGGGATCAGGGCAGACAAATCTAAGGAGTACTTCTGAGGCGGAGGAATCAGGACTTTTGATTTCACTGCAGGAAGTGAAAGAGGACGGTGTTAAGTGTGTAGTAGTTCCTTGCTGGGAAATCTTGGTAGCCAGTCCTGGGGATTTAATGACAGAGAAAGCTGCAGGGGGAACAGGTCTAGGGTGGGGCAGACAGGACACTCACAGACGCTGGCCTGAAACCCAGGCCTCGGTGGCAGGGGTGTACACCACGCAAAGCCCCCCAGCATCCCAAACAGCCTCGGCTGTGCCCAAGGTACCTTACCCCGGTCCCTTCTCCGGAAGAGCCACCTCGGCGGACAGCGGGCTGTAGACAGGAATGCTGACGTCGTAGCCTTGCCGGTAAGTCCACGTGGAAAAGCCACCACCAGCCAAGAGCGCCCTGAAAGCAAGAGATTTCATCAAGCGGCGAGGAAGACACGAGGTCCTCACCCTGAGCGGCTCTGCGGGAAGGAGCCGGAATGAGGAGTCGACAGCGACATCAGTGGTTACCGCGTCACTCCTGCCTCAGATTAACGGGCCTGGGACACTAACGACGCATCTCCCAGGCATCAGTGGCACCAGATCCCCGAAGCACCAGCTCTCCCCCAAGTCCCCCTACTTTCCTTTATTACAGCCGGGGGCGCTCAGTACAGCCCCCCACCTCATTCCATCCCACCCACCTCTCCGAAAAGCCTTGCTCCGAGCCCTGCCCCAAGCGGTTCTTCCTCTGTGGTCCCAGAGCGGCTCGCTCCCATTAACCCAATGAATTCCCGTTTAGGAAGCAGGATCCAGAACAGGACCTCGCGCGCTTCTCCTGCAGTGAGCTTGCACCCGCTTTGATTCTCCTTCCTCAGGACCACATTGTTGTAATTGGATCCAGCAAGCAGCACGACGATGCTGCATCAGAGGGAGGAAGCAGGTGAACACACCACCAGCTTTCGCTGTCACCCTGTCCTGGCGGCCCCCGTCACATCGAAACCACTTTCTGGGGCAGAGTTTTGCCAGCTGCACACCCTGCAGTCTAAGCCACAATGTCTTGACCAAGAAACCACGTTTTCTGCAATACTGATTGCTACCAATACTCTCCTGACCCCAAGGACAAACTGGGTTCTGGTCTAACAGGGCCAGTCTCGGTTCAAAGATGTCCAAACCACCCTGGAAAGCCCACTCTTTCAAAGGCTCCACGAAACCCAGAATGGGCGAGAGAGGCAATGCGCGGGCTACAAGCTCTCCGCTGCCAGGCTGCCCTCGGCACCAACATGCGCTCTGACTTCTCCTGATGAGCAGGGATCTGGGCCGTTGCAGGTCCCGACGGCGAGCAGCCCAGGCCTCGGGTGACCGAGGGGAGCTGGGAGTGGGCATGGAGCGAGTGCAAGCAGTGTGCTTCACACCAGCTCTGCGGTTCCTCGCTTCTGCGCCCCCGCTGCAGCGAGCCTTCAACCCAGAGCTGCGGTCCCTTGGGCAGAGCTTTCCACCGGAGGAAAGACTGCTAAGCGGCCCTCGCTTTACAGGACACGGGTTTCACGGGGACTGCTGATTTCGGAGTGGCCCGTTTTGTTTTCCCATTCCGGATCCTGAGATCAGAGATCTGTCCGAAGAATACGAGAGACCAGACAGAGAACCTGCGCTGGGAAAAGCGTCTGTGTGATGACCAGACTCACGGAAGCCCCGTCCTACCCCCGAGACCCTCCCGACCCCCCAGCTCGGGACACCCCCGCTGCTGCTGACCCTTCTTCCCACTGCCTCTGCCCGTCCCGTCCTCCCTGTACCACAGCTTCTCAGTTCTCCTGCTTCCTGCTCCGTGCCGAGCACAGAGAGCCCGTGAGTTTATTCTTTTATTTTTTTTGGTACCAGGGATCGAACTCGGAACCTTGCACTTGTGAGGCAGACAGCAGCGCCACTGAGCTAAGTCCCCAGCCCCTCTCTGTCTTCCTCTAAGCTATGCACTGGGACTTGGCCCACAAACTCCTCAAAAATAAAGCTTCAGGTTCTGCAACAAAACAAAACAAAACAAATGCTGACCAATCCTAAGAGTCAAACAAAACAAGCAAAACACACACATGAGAGGAATGGCCTGACCTTCCTGAGCCTTAACACCTTAGCACCAGCAAGAACTCCAATTTTCTGACACCCTGCCGCAGAGCAGGGAAACCCACTGAACATGTGCACTTGATAAAAATGCAAACGTTCTCCCCTGCAGGCACATACACCCAAATGTTTGCCAAAGGTGAAGTCCCAAGCAGCAAGAAGTTCTTCTGCAACAAATCCCAGATCAGGAGGTGGAGACACAGCATTTGGAACAGTTCCTCTCCTCCCCTTCTCTGTCCTTTCCCTGGAACAACCACTCTGTAAAGCAGACGTCCATTCAGGAAGCCACCAAGCCTTCCCCCTGCTGAGAGCTGACCAGGCATCCCTCAGGAGCCACTTTCTACAGCATTTGCAGGGCCACACTGCCCCCTGCCGTCCAGAGCAGTTTCTACACCGAAGTCCAGGGAGGACCTGGGGTGTTTGTCTCTCCTAGTGATAACTGTATTTCCAGTTAGAAACTTGAGACAGATTTGAAATAATCATTTACAGCCACGAAGGTTCCGGTTTAATTTTCTGGGAGAGAGCAGTACTCGGTGCAGTTTCCGTAAGGGACAATGTTGAGAACACAGCTGGCCCCAAGCGGTCACTTTTGTCGGTGACAATGATTTCAGGACTTCCACATCAGCTCTAACAAGACCGGAGATAAAGCAGTCCAGAGGCAAACGCTGTAACAGCCCTCTGCCTTGAGTACCGCAGAGAACCCTAACCCAGGGCACTCAAGGCCTCCAGAGGTGGCATCCGCAGCATCTCTTTCCCCAGCTTTCTCAGAGCTCTGGCCAAGGGCATAAACCAAGGAATGACCATGAAGTCACAGCCACCCAGGAAGAAGGGAACAGGAAGGGTGTGGGGGAGGGAAGGAGGGAGAGAGAGAAGAGAAGCACCTCGCTGCCTGGCATCACAGGCGTCACAGGCCCCCTCCCGGTCCGCGTCCTCTGCCCTGGGAGCTGAGTCTCCTCTCAGCAAATATCAGCTCCCAGACCAAGAGGCCAACGCAGGCCGAGGTGGAGCCAGCCTTGGAGCTGGGCTGTGGCCCCCAGACCGCACACGCTGTGCTGGGACACCGCTCTGCTGGATCCATGCGGGGCCAAGGAGGTCTCCACTTGTGTCTCAGGCAGGGAAACTCAGAGGGCAGTTTTCTAATGCAGCAAACAATTCAGATGACCGAGCACACCCAGTAGGAACAGGAACGTGATTTCACAGGAACAAAGGACCTTGGATTTGTTTAATCCTCAGAACACCATCCCGGGGCCAGCCTCGAATACACCTACCTGTCTCGGGGGACATCCAGGGCGGTGTTGTAGTCTGGGGGACCTCCAGGCAGCATGTTGAACAACAGGTGATTTGTGCCTCGATCCCACCTATGAGAAATAAACATGGAGAATTCAAGAGTCGCCCATGAAGAAACTAGAGTCAGCTGTTAGGTAGTAAGTGCAGGTGTCCCCATCCCTGAATAAATAGGGCCACTTTTCAGCGCAGCTGGGTAAATTCCCGCAATTTCGATCAGTACATCAGGCACTGGTCTGGCTCCACGTTAAAAAAACAAAAAAGGAAACAGAACAGACAGGCTTGTCTGCTACAGAACTGTGTCTAATAATGAAAATGAAGTCGACAGTGTTCACTGCTTGGTTTAAAACATAGAAGGTCGATGGGATATAGTATAGAATGCCCACACAATGGGACACTATATAAACTTTAAACTTTATGGTAAAAGAATGTGAAAATTTGAAAATGGAATTTATGATATATTAAAGGAAGCAAAGCAGCCAAAGAGTATGTACAGCGCAGCACCAGTCTGGAAGGAAAAAGGTATAAATACATATGCATGTCTACTCTGTATACCAAAAAATGACCAGAAAGCAACATCAAAATATTACTGATGGCTATCTCTTAGAGGCAGGATTACGGCATGAATTCTACATTCTTCCTTTTGTGTATGTGAATTTTCAGACTTCCTTTGTAGTATCGCAGACTAAACCAAGGCCTCTGCCCTGAGCTACATGCCCAGCCCTTTTAATTTCATTTCGAAACAGGGTCTCGCTAACTTGCCAAGTTCCCTAGGCTGGCCTTGAACTTGCCAACCTCCTGCCTCAGCCTCCCAGAGCGCTGGGATTACAGCGAGGGCCACCACATCCGGCTGAATGCGTACTAGGTGACGGGGTGGGGCCACTTATCATTTACAAGATGAGCATGGGAGGAACAGCCACCCTCAGGCCGGGAGCAGGGAGCGCAGGGTGCAGCACCCGGGCACAGAAGCTGGGCGCCCGCTGCCACAGTGGCTCCCACCTGTCCCCGTTAAGCCGGCGGGGGGAGGGACCCCCCCACCACCCTGCTCCTGCCCCGCTCCCGTACCTGGAGAGCTGCGCCAGGGCCTGCGCCGTCTCGCGGATAGGCAGCGCGTGCTGGCTCAGCAGGTCGATGGACGGCACGAAGAGGCAGGCGCGGCTGATGTCGTCGGTATAGTAGTCGCTGTCGGCGATGGCCGAGAGCAGCTCGTTGTACTCCCGCGAGATGGTGCTGCTGACCGGCACGCCCAGCTCGTTCACGTACTTCTTCAGGGAGTAGATGTACACCTTGATCTTGTTCTTGGGGTTGAAGCCGCAGCGGTAGACGTCGAAGCACGTGTGCATCCTGCAGCTGAGGTCGCCGCGCTCGGGCACCGGGCTGTCGCCG